TATGCTTTATTATGCTACCAATACGTTTACCATCCACCATGGCTTGCCTGGCGTTGCGCACACACGAATGCATGAAGTTTTTATTTTGACATCTACTTGACCAAGAATTAGCCAGACCCGAACTATTGCTATTTAACCTGGCATAAGAACTTTAATTTTTATTTATAAAATTAAAGTGGTTGTCTCTTTATAAATAAACGGAGTGAGTTAAAATTGATAAGTATAATTCTTAAAAATCCACCTCTGTAACTAGGATAATCTTATAATATATCGAGTTGTCAATTTAAAAAAAAAATTCACCACTATTGTAAAAAACAAATATGATGAAATATTACATACCTGGGCATAGTGTTATATTATATTACATACCTCAGATAGTTTTGTTTTGTTTTATTTCATTAACAATAACTTATTTTTTGCTTATTTTCTAAGGTAGAATAAAAAGCAAAGCACACTGTCTCATATTTATTTGCTGAGAAGTAGGACAGGTTTTGTTTTCAATTTCGTTTCAGAAACCCGTAAAAACTGTACCATTAATCTCCATGTCAATCTCTAAACGTTTTAGCAATAATCTACTTTTCTACTTTTTAATAGCTCAGCAGACCTATACTGCATATTTTCATCAAATTTACTACCAAGGAGTGTAATGATAAAATTAAATGTTGATGTGATCTAACAGATCAGAAAGGCCTCCTAACTATAAGTTAAACTTATACTGCATGCAAAGCAGCTTCTAAGTCCGAGTTTATGGTATCTGATAATAAAGTAGATTAATCACATGTACAGTGTTTATGATACTGCACTGTAATAATTTAAGAATATTTAGCATTTAACTTCCAGTATTAATTCAGACTATAGAGTTTCATGATATCTACGGGAAATCACTGACATATTTCTAGTAAATAAAGTACTATAATGCCCTTTGCATAGGCTTGTATAATAAATAAAATAGTTTCACAACATGTTGCTTTGAACAAGTTTTCTAAATATATTTTAAAAGATTAAAATTTCATGCAGTCAGCAAGTTCAAATGTCAATACGGGCATTTTCTTCCGAATTATTTCAGGAATTTAGTATCATATTTTCTAATTTTTCAATAGAATAATATATTGTTAATTATAGAATAATTCAAGTTTCCTTTAAGCTAGTTGTTAGTTACTTATTATCCATTTCATAAAATGGAAAATTACAATATTGTATTTCATCGTATAAAATATTAAAAACTTCCATGCTAGAAAATGATGGATCTAAATTTCAGAAAACAATCTAAGAATTCTCCATAGACGCTTAGCGTTTAGGGAAAAATATTTGTTGAAATAGCCACGTTAATGCATCTTCATCAACAAATTTGTCTATGCCTTTCAGATGCATGATGGGAATGATTAATTGAATATTTGCTTCTAGCATGTTGATATATGAGGTTGTTTCGGGCAAAGCAAGCAAATCGATCTTCTCTCTGTTTCTGTCAGCTGAAGCTGTGGAAGTTCATCATTTTGACGCGTCTATTTCTATTATGCTGATATTATAGATTCTCCTTTCTCACGTATATTTGGAATTTAAGCGATGCATGACGGCCTAACTTCACAAGTTTTATTCGCATTTTTTTAGTTCTTTTCTCGTTTCCTTAGTAATAAATGTACGATTATCTACAAATAGTGCATAGTGGAAATATACATGATGGCACATGTAAAATACCGATATAAAATACCTTTATGTAAAATACCGATGTTTTGTTTTTGGCCTTTTTCTCAGGTATATTTTATTACACGTAATAAAATAGTTATGTTAGCCTTTGTTTCCATTCATAGACTACGGGAAAAAGCTCGAAGGCAGTCAAATGTTACGAAAAGCCTTATTGCTTACTCAGAACGTCCCTTTTGATGGCAGCGAGCTGTTGTTGTTGCTGTCTTGCCCATGAATTTCATGGAAGAAGGGTTGTCAGAATCACATACAATGCTATAATACACTGTAAAAAACAAAAATGGCTGCAGTTGAAACACAAATTTTACTCCACAACGTGCTTTTCCGTTTTAACCGGAAGTCCTCTAATTCTGCAACGCCATTGGCTGCTTACAAATTCTAGGATTTTGCTTGGGTTTCAACTCGCCAAGAAGTTTTCGCCAATTCCTATGGAATCTCCAAGGATTTGGGTCAGAATTGAGACGCTCTTTTGCAGAGCTTCGAGGAGGCTGGACTTCTACTTCCACCCCAATTTTGAGGGAAAGCACCCCGGAACGCTGGTTCGAGAGTTTCCCACCCTTCTCCCATTCCACCAAACCACATGAGAGGCCTTTCGGCTAGCCATATATTTAGTGTGTTCTCATGCCTCAAAAAGACACTTTACATTTACGAACATCCATGCCTTCTTTGGGATTCGAATCTCGGTATTTCGGTACCGCAGTACGCATCCCTAACCACTATACCGTCTGGGAGGCAACACAGCGTGTAAGGCTGCTGACAGAATTTGAACGCGAACAGGCATATTATTTTGTCATGTAAAACTGTTTATATAAACGTTTGTAGCGTATAACTTAAGGATATGAGTCTAAGTATTATATATGAGTACATATATAACAATAAGTGTAAATATATATATTATAGTACATACATGGTAAAGGATTATAAACACGATGAAGATACTAATTTTTTAACCCCAAGATTACGAATTCAGCATTTGGCGCAACAACGTGTGGCTTCGATACTTCATTAAAGATGTAAGTCAATTATTTTTGAACTGAAAGAAGAAATAATTTGAATAGACTTGAAAAATATCAATTATTAATGGTATAATCAACAAAAGAACATTCGTTGTTGATGCATATTAATTAAAGAACACTGCTGTTATAAAGTTTCGATTTTGATTTACTTAAGTAAATATTTTGTTTGAATTATCAATTTAAAATGGCAGAATGAGAGAAATATAAAAACGCTCAAGAACATCCATTAGATCTGTAACTACGACACATACCAGTAAAATCGATAATTTGCTGAAAGATGAAGCAACTGCTAATTTACTGAAAAGATGAAGCATCTGATATTCGCGTAAAATTTCATAAGATTAAGTATTTAAGAGATCAACTACTAGAAAAAGGAAATTTCTTAAAATCATTACATAAAGAAATATTTAAGATAATTGATGTAAAGGATACAGAAAATGAAATTGTAACAACCGAAAAATAATTAAATGCAAAGAGAAAATTCGCGTTTTATTACAGAAATCGAAATTAAACAGAATTAAAGTTCTGTTGAATATATATGTTTCTATTATATTAAATATATCTGTTTACATTATTTTATTAAGTCCTGTTGAATCAATCATGGAAACCGGCAATGGCTTTAGTTTTGTAAATATTTCTAATATGTTTAAATAACCGAAGTTGTTAATATCAATTTTTACGATAAATACACTTTTTTTTTTGAGAATTTTTTAGAGAGCGAATTTGAAAATGCTATTCATAACAATAGTAAGTTAACTAAAATTGAGAAATTTACTTACCCGAAAACATTGTTGAATAGAAATTGTTGGATGAAACATTGTACATAGAATTCTATTAGGGGTTTTATCAAAACTGAGGAAATTTGTGACCTCTGTATTAAATTGTTAGCCGAATGATTTGAGCAGGTTGCAGCCGAAAACATTGCGGATGAAAACATCACGGGGAAAACAACGCAAGACGAAAATGCGGTGGTACAAAACATCATAGGAGAAAAGAAAGCGAAGAGGAAACATCACAGTTCTAAAACAACGTGGTACAAAATATTACCGTCATCGAAAATAAAGTGGTTAAAAAACTTCGCAGTTTAAAACATCGTGTCGAAAATATCGTGGTAAAATGAAGCATCTGCAAATCACCGCATGACGATAACATCGTACAATTTATAACAGAAAAAATCACTTTTGCTTATTACGCCGACTGTTTTCCTGAAAAAAACAGACTCTTGAAAATAAAGAAGATGATTCCTGGTGAATCAAATATTGGAGATTTAAATCCGTTTGTTGACTATAAAGGCATACTCCTTATAGAAGAGAGACTACGAAGTGTAAAGTACTCGACCATTTTACCAAAGAAACACAGGTTCACAGAAATGAGTGTGATAAATTCCCACGATCAGGTATGCCATTTCGGAATTGAAGACACTCATATTCGACAAAAGTTTGGAATCATTAAAGTTTGTCCTTAATAAATGTGCCATTTGCAAACGCTTCAACACTTGTTATGGTGCTCAACTAATAGCTCCTCTTTCTGATTTTTGAATTGAACGATCTCAGCCATTTGCTGCACTTGGTCTGGACTTTGCTGCACTGCTGTACATTAAATACAACAAAACTAAGCACTGTATCCTACTGTGCAAATGCACTTTGAACTGGTCAATAATCTAGCAACTGAAACATTTCTTCTAGAACTCATGAGATATGTCGTAACCACCACGAAGACATGCTAAGATGGCGGGAGAAATACCTTATATTTTTATCAAACCGAATAACGTATTGATTTAACTTGAATTATCATTGAAGTACTTATTATATTTTTGTTGTAATATTTAAATTTTACTGAGTAATATTTTTTTTAATATTTGCACCATCTGATGAACAAAGTTTTCATCGGGGAGGGGGTAGATGTGGAATATTTGAAATTTGTAGTGGCACTCGCAAGGAGGCAATTGTTATAGCAAAACTTCTTGCTTACTAAGGCTACCGATAGAACCTGCCGACAGGCATATTATTTTGGTCTATAAAGTTGTTTATATGAATGTTCGTAGAGTATAATTTAAGAAAGGATATATATGTAAATATTGTTTATAAATATATACAAATATAGGATTATAAACACCGTGAACTTTGTTTAAAGCACTTTGAAGACTCCCAAATAATAAATATTGGAGGAAACATAATTTTAACAATGAAAGAAATTTAAAGACAGAAGTGGGTTTCAATCAAATTGGTTATCAGTTAACAAAACACGTAGACCTTGTTCGGGAAGTGTATGTAATGACTATACCCTTGTGCCGTTTTGAATACGGTGACTTCTGTGTATAACTTGACAACAAAATTGACAAGAGGCACATGCCAACACCCAGCAACAGAGCCACTGCATATGAAACTATTGAGAGAAGATATTCCAATAATCTCTGTGGACTCATAGTTACACCAATGGATCCATGATTGAGCTAGGTACTGGAGCTGGCGCAGGAATCTATTGTATCCATTTTGCATTCTATAAGACAGTGGAAAGAGATACTACTACCAATTTTGATGGTGAAGTTGAGGCTATATTTATTACTCCGAATCAATTAAGCGCTCGGAAGAGTAATTTCCCACGGAATGTGATTCTGTCCGATAGCAAAGCCGATTTGCAGGCTACCTTCAACAATAAATGTTGCACTTCCGAACGAATTTACGAATGTAGGAAGATTCTTAACACTTTGGCTGAATCAGTTGTTTTGCAGTGGATTCCTGCTCATTGTGGCACCGAGGGAAATGAAAGAGCCGATTTCCTGGCAAAGAAAGGAACGACTATTCTACAAACCACTAATAACCATATGACTTTTGATTCTGCAAAACTCCTAATGAAATTAGAATTTAAGAAGAGATTTTCCTCCTACTTATCAAATGAAGCTAAGGGAAAAGCTTGGGAATGTCTCACCAGTTCAAAGATAGTTATTCCAAATTTTCATCGTCCTGTATGTTATTTTCATGTTATTTAGTCTTTTGACTTTTTGTTACGTGATGTCATTTCGTCTTTTGACTGGGCTTGATTGTTTGAATGCCCATCTTTTTAAAATTAGACTTAAGGCCTCTTCAGTCTGTAGTCATTGTAAAACTGGGGAGTCCATGGATAAGGATCATACTGACGAATGAATTACACTATTATCTTTTAATTCTACGTATTATTCTTAAGCATTGGGATGCAAAATCAAGACTAATGGCTCAGTGGCCAAAATGTTTGTCATTTGTGTAGTTTAGGCATAATAATACCGTCTTCATTGACTGTGCCTTTAAGCTTACATTAGTTTTGGGTAAGAGCTCATTATACATGTGAATGGAGTAATTTCCCAGTATTTGGATAATCTGTGTATGGAGCTATGTAGTTTGAGCAATTAATTGATTCTCCAGATAATATAATTGATAAAGATCATGGTTTTTCCATGATAATGATGTATTTTCAACTGTATGAACATAAAAAATTTAGTTATGTCTTGTCATCTGATAACATCTCTTGCAATACTATATTTTATTTAAATCACAAGATTAAAATTTAATTATTTAAGAAAGCATTAAAATTTAACGCAACATACTTTTCTAAAATTTCATTTTCCCCTTGATAAACTATGCATTTTTGTAACGTTAAACACTTTTTGGTTAGTTTTTTAAACAAAACTACAGCATGTTTAAAACTTTACAAAGAAATTTGCGTAAAAGATGTGCATCAATAGCTTTATTTATAATTCGAAGAAATAAGTAATATTTAATCAACATTGAAGAAAATGATGCGTTATCTGAATTATCTTTAGCCCTAAAATATCAAATTATTAAAAATTTATATTCTTTAGATAAACTTCAGTTTGGATGGGAAGAAATAAACGAAATTCAAATCCAGAATAGATATATTTATTGCGTACATATATCCAGATTTAGCTCTTTCCAGTGGAAGTATTTTATTTATTATTTAAGAATTTTATATTTCTGTGATGCTCCGATTACATAAAAATGGAGTAATATTTCCTTTTCTAATACATGAAAAAGTAATATTCCTCTTTCTTATTTCTAATTCTCGTGAGGCAATGATTTGTTGATGTTATTCATAACTATTCTTATATTTAAAATATGTAGAAGTGGATTTGTAACATGGAATAAAGTCAAATTATTCCTAAAAATTGCATTCAGGTTTATTTATAAGCGTGTAATGATTCATAAAATGCATAAATATTACACACTTATCAAGTATATATACCTAATAATTTTTAAAGCAGTATGTACTTTCAAGTTGACGAAGAGGCTTTATTAAAAATTTTAAAGCAGTTTGTCCAAATTTCAGCTTTCATATGAATCATTTCGAAGTTCAATGCTCAACATTATTTAATTTTATTTTAAGGGTTACATAATTTCAAAGCAGTTTAAAACTGCAGGATTACTACAAGTGATATAGTGGGTTCTGTGATATAGTCTTGCAATTTCGAGTTGAGGATCATACATGTTTTTGAGAGTCATGTTGATGTTGTTATCTTGTCGATGGATTTCATGGAAGAATGGTTGCCAGAGCCTCAAGGAGGTTGGAATTCTATTTCCACCCCAATTTTAAGGGAAAGCACCCCGGGTGGGGCGTCCGAAGCATTTCCCACCCCTCTCTCCTACCACTTTTGACTCGCCATATATTTAGAGTGCTCCATGCCGCAAAGACACTACACATTTACAAATATCCATGCCTTTTCCGTGATTCGAACCTGTGCCTTCGGTACCGCAGTAGGCTTCTCTCACCACTATATCGTCTGAGCAGCTCGATAGTCAGGTAACAACAGGAAATATCTTAAAGTTTAAATCAGTGCATGCGAATTTCTTGTGACGCGTTATATAGAAGATAACAGTTCGTTTTTCAAAATGGCAAAGTTTGAAACGTCACATTCAGCTTTCTGACTAGTTCGCGTGTGCTCAATTCGGGAGTTTCTACCAGCTGAAGAAAAATTGCATCTTCCTGTGCTGGTGTATGTCTGTCGTGTGTTCTTCAACCCACATCCTGAAGATTGTGTGTCTGGTGGAAGCTTCCAGCATTTCTCAGTTTGTAATCCAACCTGCGAAGACATTAATCATCCCGAGAACAGTCTGACGGCTAATGACGGACATGCTCCGAAGCTGTTAGTAAGGCATTAGCATTACATTGACTAGAAGATAAAATATAAATATGTTCACGAACGAAATAAATTATGAGCATGAGAATATTTCTGGTAGCTACCAGATGCAGCTTTTGAAATGTGATTTAAACGACGGCTTGATGCCATTCTACGGTGCGCGATGAACATTTTCCTATGCATAGAAATACCGATATTCCAAACCGAACATATGCAAATACCGATGGTTTTATGTTTCTAATGAAGTTTTTCTCCTACATCGGATATAACGTCATACTGTTTTCGCATTTATCTAAAAAATTATGGGTCGTACAGGTGCAGTTCTTTGAGTATTTTTTATGCGTTTCGTGCAAGAAAAGTGACTGTGAAGTGTTTGGGCGGTGATTGGACGCCCTGAATGAGATAAATCTTTTCACAAAAATCACTACTTAAAAAGCAAGAAATATTCTCAGAATGAAATAATACAACACCAAGTAATGAGCATTTCTCATTGTATTTTAATATTTTAAGCTAAGGTACACACGTTATGAGCGTGTAATTTTACACTCTCATAATTTGAGTACTATTACTGTAACCTTATACATGCATATTCAAGTTTCTATCTGAGTGTATTAAATATGTACAACATGGGAGCGCGAAATGAGGAATTATTTACATTTTTTTACAGTAAAGTTTTATTCAGGAAAAACATCATAAATTCTAATTACGAAACTAAGTAAATGACTGACATCTTTATTGATTTCGCTGTTTACAGAATCAGTGTGCATTTGTATGTCGTTGACTTAGATCCATACTACACGGATTCAGAAGAGCACATAAATAGAAATTGCATCTGAAATCAGATAGCCAGATCGAAGAGTCGCAGCTGAACAAGACATAGACATCTTGCGTTGGCATATCAGATAACAACAGACGCCTCTGTATTAATAATATCATCAGTGACTTCATCCAAAACTGTGCCCTTGGATACATGATACTCTCAGGCGACCAATTCATCACTTCATCGATCTCTATTTGTTGCAGATTTTCCGCATCATTTCATCGAATTATATTACAAAAACAGATTAATCGCGATCGTTTCCTTAATATTGTTCTAACTCTCATAAATTTAAAGTTCTTATCAAGTTTGTTACTGATGTTATGCTACATGTAACGCTTTACTATAGTACTTTACTGAAATATTTCCTTAGATAAAAGTAAAAAAAAAATACGCCGTTGTTTTTACTGAAGACTTATTGCTGCATTATTTTCTTAACTGTAATAAATCAAATAAAGCATCTGAAATCTTTCAGATTTTACATTACGTCCAAAGGGACTTTTTTAACATTTTCTGTGCTACCTTTATTTATTAAATATCATGTTCTTTGCACTTAAACCAAAAAATTCAATTCAACAACAATGTCGCAAAATGATTTTAAAATGAGCATATCTTTAGAAGTTTCGTATAGTATTGTCATTATTCTATTTTTCGTAGAGTATTGTAATTCCTCGCTTTGAATCCGTTGAGTTTTTAAATAAAAAAAGTCACAAATGCTTTACAAAATATAAAACAGAAAAACAAAACAAATTCCAAATTCCAAATTAAGGCTTCCAGATGCCCATCGGTGGAAGATTACGTTATACAAAATTTGATGGCTCTAGGTCCGTTTTTTCTCAATCGCGCCCCCCAGCCTTAGCGATTCTTGTTATTTTCCTTTATTCCCAGGGCGTATCTGGTGGCCCATTGCCGCGTGCCCGGCATTAAAGTTTCAACGCAAAATGCCAAAATGAAATTAATAGCCCTTCTTGGCTAACGCCCTTTGGGCTAGAAACGATTAAGTTTATAAAATGTTCTTTTATTCACATCGGTATTTTAAAGTTTTGAATAAAATAAATATTTTCCTGGATATAATACACATATATTACGAAAACTAAATGTAATTACTGGTTTATGTTGCATGCAAGCAGAAGCAATCAGCAAGAATTTAATCTTCATATATCTCCTAGCAACTAAATGAAAGAGGTAAACTATTTGGTTGTAAAGAAAGGTTTCCACCAAAAAACGATCTCAATAAACCTGATCAGTGGAAAAAACAGCAATCAGCCACCACAAGAAGGCAATTGATGAAAGACCAGGGGCCATTAATTGCTCGTAATCAGGAATGTCACAGAAAAGTACTTTACAAAAATGATTACTGATGGCTTGCATAAGATGCTACATATGACAATAAGAAAAACGTCAGTGTATAATATTATCGTACAAAAGTATAGTGCATTTAGTGATAAGATACATGAATACATAATTTAATGGTATTCCA